AGTAGTTTTATATATTAGCAGAATTTAAAATTTTGATCTGTATAATTCAAAAGAGATAATCTCTAGTAAATTTATGAACAGAACAGATAGAATTTTCGTTCTTTTTTTAGAGCAACATACAAATTTGACACGATATTCTTACTAAAACAGAAAAAGCTCGTGAAGTATGTTCTGATTAGATCCATATGCGTCCGCTCATTTGATCGTTATTTAAAGAAAGTAAGTTCTAGAGGTGCGAACTATAAACTCTATTTGGTACTAATTCAAAAAAGATAATCTATTAATCAATTTTCAAGATTTCTAAGGGCTTAACGAAGTAAAATTTCATGCAACATTTTCAAAATAGATTATTGTATATCGATATATAAATAAAGTAAACTTCACGTGACATCATTAATTAAGTCAAATGACAAATGAGGCCAGATCTTCAAAGTATGACGGACTTTTGAAAAAATATGTACTCTTAATAAAATTTATAGAGAATTAATAAATAAAATATTTTTTTGGCTATAAAATTTAATCATATGAATAAAAATATGAATTGCAAAAAAACCGTTTTCAAAGCATTTTAATAATTTTATTTTCACTGTAGATTAGCATGTTGAGAAATATACATTAATTCAAATTAGACTACTAATGAAAATTTTTTTTTATTATAGTACTTATGAAAATTATTCTAACATAAAAATTTACAGTAAGAAAAGTCGATTCTATTGCATTTCGTCACGAAGATGCTCCATTATTGTTATTACATCATGTTAAGACATTATACGCATGTGAAGCTGTTTTAACTACTAAAAAACCCCGATCATCCAATCAAATCGCATAAATGCACACGTAAAAGAATTATATTACCTGTTACATGAAACTTACAAGAAAAAATGTTATTTGGAAACTCACTTATAACAAAGTTGGCAGTTAGATGGTTATTATAAAAAAAATCTGATTAGTTGGCCCGAAGCACCTTTCCCCAGATACAACTTTTAACAATAAAAAGATAAACAGTTCAGTATGAATTTTATTTATCTGAATAGAAATCATTTTGTTCTTAATTTTAAAATTTTCACTTATAATATATGAGTTTATAAGTTGTTTTCCCCCAATCTTCATTCCAAAGCCTGTAAGTTTTAGGACATTGTTCCCCGATATCATGATATACAGCGTTATATCTTACTGAACATTTTGAACATTTAAAATTTTTTTTCCATTCTTCTTTAATCGTGACTTCAGTTGGCATTGGCTTAAAACAACAGTCTTTGGTATTATGATCTTTAGTCTTTTGACAAAATTTACACTATTTATATTCCCCATATTCAACATCTTCCCAATTCCAACAAATTATAGTTCTACTTCCACAATAACAATATTTCTTGTCAACTGAGCAACGATTACACTTGCTTGCTACTTTGTCTTTACCCCATGGGGGCAATTTGTCAGTGGGGGACCCCATCCTTCTTCATCATGATCTAGGGTAAATAATTATTGGTCAATATATAAATTCAGTACTATTCAAATTAGTTGAAAGTACTCACCATACATTGTTTGAGATATAATTATATTAGTACGCTTCGTTGTATTTGTCGTCAGAAGATATTGACTTTAAAACAAAACATAAATCTGATACTCATTTATATATATATGATGCCGTACTCAATTGCCTTTCGATTATATTTTTATTAGTGTTTTTTTTTACAGGTAAATCATATAACAATTATACAGTATATTTTACGTATATTTGAGGCAAAATAAGTAATATATTACATATTTACTTTAATGCTGTTTTATAGACGAAAAGTTGATGAGTACATATAAGATATTGTTTGTGCTAATTGAAATACGGCAATATATAAATACGTGTAAATACGTATCTACATGTGATATTGAATAAAAAATTTATGCACGCATATATACTGGACTAATAATGTAAATTACTGTTAGAATTTATTATAAAACATTAAATATAATAATATACGGTATTTCTGAATTTGCATTATCCGTATTACCCTGCAATAGTCACATTCGCATTTGTCACAATCTCACTATAATTTTAGCACTGATCCAACATTCAAAACCGGTTTATAAATATGTAAATTTAAATTAATTTATATTACTTATATAAAACCGAAATTAAAGATAAATTTTTTATTAACGTTAAAAATAATACCAAATTTGGATTTAAAAATTGTAAATCATGTCACTTCATGAATTGAACTTTAAATTAAAGTTGTTTTTTTATATTAAACAAATTTTTGGTCTTTATTTAGAGCATAATATATAAATCTATATCAAACATATCAGTATCGGATTAGACGCGATATTGTGCGATATTTTTACTGAAACACGTGATTTTAAAGCCTGAAAAGTTTATTTTATATGAGATTCCAAGTCTATTGACTGACCCTTATTCATCTACTTCCTAAAAACAAGTATGAAAATTTTATTTGATATTCCTAGGACGACTCATCATGCTCAATATTGATGTCGAGACACTTTTTTAAATCTAATTAGACAATATAGCCAGATTTTAAGGAGAAGTTTGTGAATACTAACAAAGTAAAATTTCATGTGACATTTTCAAAATAGATTATTGTACACGTGAGTTATTATCTTTAAATTACTACATTTGATGTAAATTTATCGATATATAAGTAAAGTAAAATTCACGTGACATCATTTATTAAGTCAAATGACAAATGAAGAATATTTTACGCGATTCTGGGTTAGGACATATTACTGCATTATGATGGACTTTTGAAAAATATGTACTCTTAATAAAATTTATAGTTCGTGAAATTAATTATTGTTTAATTCGGCACGTGATATAATAAAGATTTATAATTTTTTGTTATTCAAGAAAATTCTTGTATGATGTAAAATTATAATAATGAAAGCATAAAAGACATATATCAATGTTTTTGACCTTTATTCGAAAGCTTCATATCAAAATAAGCATTAAATTTCTAAAAGAAAAATAGAATTTGTATGAAGATAATGAAAAATCATCTATTTTCTGTGGCTAAAATATTTTAAAATTCATTTTTGCAACCTTAGATCTAACTTGTTTCTTAATAAAATAAACAAGCTTTGCTATAAAATTAATAATAATTCTTATGGCAAATTCTGAACAAATTTTTATAAATTTATTAACATCAACTAAAAAAAAACCAAAAAAATCTTCCAAGCAAATTTTAACATCTTCAGCAGATTCTATTACTTCCCTCGATGGTTTTAAGAGAGATTTCACAAAGTAAGACAATGCTTCAGCAAAATTACTCATGTACCAATAACAAATTCTACCGAATTGGCAAATCTCAAATGTTCTATTCTTCTTATATATGGCAACTTCCGATGGAGTTTTAATATCTATTAATGAAGAATTTTATTATTAACCAAAAATTATACTAATAACTATACGAACACTTAAGCATACCCGGTTTTTCTTTACTAATAATTAATGCCAATAAAACTACGAATAAAGTAGTAACCAAAGTAATAATGATAAGCATTTTTATAAGAAAAAGTAAGAACTTCATTTTTTTAATTGTGGAAAAAGCAATATGAAATTCTGCTGAATAAACCAAGCATACCTTTATATTATAAAAATTGTTATAACAAATATAAATTTAAAGTTCGTAAATATCACTGATATATTTTATTTATTCTATAATAATAAAATACGTTCGTGTCTATTTACTCAAATAATTACCATTAAAGGATATGAGTCTCAAAGAAAAAAAATCTAATCAAAGGTGATTGATTATAAATATTTATATATTAAATATTCATCATTCGCCTATAAAAAAAGCCAAATTTTTAGCTATTCAACCTATTAATATTTACATATAATTTGACAATAATATGAGTTCGAAACCCACATGTACCAAAATTTTGATGAAAGATATTCCTGTGGTTTCTTTTTCTCCTGGTGAATATGAAAGATACTGTGAAATATTTGCAAGTATCCAAAATAAAAATGGTGGTAAACTTTTTCAGAACGGTCTTCTGTTATGTCACCAGAATACCTTTGTCTACCAAAAACTCCTAGAATTATGTAACAATGTAAATGATAAAAAAGTTTTAAGAGCCGCATATGATTACTGCAATAGTCAACATGAACCGAAAATCAAAAACAAAAACACAATGACCATTAACAACGTCATCATTAAGAACGAGGTTGACCTCTCTGGTTCACCAGAAACAAAAGGACTGAATAAAAACGAATCAACCTGTCCTAGAAACAGCTTATCTGAAACAGCATGCCCTAGAAACAATTTATTAAGAAAGATCGGTTTTTTCATTATGATATTCATCATCATAGGATTATTTCTTTATGTAAGTGTAATCTAATCTAATTTTAAATCAAATAATATCTTCGACTTTTAAATTAATTTTAATGATTTCAAGGCTATTAAATATGTAAAAGATAAAGAATCCAGAATCAAAGAATTAGAGGCTAGCAATCAAAGGAAGCAAGATAAATATGATAAGCTCAGCTTCGAATACAATAAGATGATCGAAAAATCGAAAATGAAAAATGATGAATATCGAAAAAGAAAAGAAAAAATTGATAGAGATGATAATGATTAATGTGATTTCTATGAAATTTTTTGATAAAAATCACAAAAGCTAAGATAAAACTTAAAAATAAAATACAAAAAAATTTTTTTCATATATCAATTAAAAGAATAGCGAAATGAAATTTTCTAAAAATTGTATAACAACAAAATTTTTGTTTCCTCTAAATCCTGATCTCAAAAAGTGATGAAGACTAAAAATTAACACTGTACGTAAATATTTGTATTTACATCTGAACAGGAAAGCAAAATAATAATAAATTTAAAATAAACGAACGAGGCGCATGGTTTATAAAATTATTCACGTTGTCGCATTTGGTTTGACCAATAAAAGTGCAGCAACGTGACTTGTGAAACTTGGCATTTGTTTTTCTCTTAATGACCATCAGCCTAACTTAGATTAATGCGGGTCAAATCTATGATCAAGTTACTGCACTATACAAAATGGATCCCGAGACTAGTATTCCACAAAAGATCTGGGTCCGAAACCAGACCTTTATTAAGATCCGCCCGGTCCGGTCTGAAACATAAGCTAGCTTTTCTGTTTGGTCTAATTTATTCTATCTTTACGCGGTTATTTATATTACCTATATTACAATATATCTTTTATAATTGAAACTTAATAATGCTGATCTCTGTTACTCATGCGCTTTTACATCAATATTTTATATTTAAGATGATTAAAAGAAATAAATTTTTTCTAATATCATTCGAATTTCTATTAAAATAGAAGAAAATAAATCAATTAAATATACCAATAAACACCATAAAAACAATAAAACTTCAATATTAAATGTCGTGATAATGCTGTCAATAATTCTTCTTATTGAGATTTTAATAATTTTACTAATTTGGGGGCAAGTATATTTTAACTGTTGAAACTATATTATAATTCATATTAATTTGTGATCAATAAATAGTGTCAAAAGATCTCGCCATTCATATTTGTATATTGAACCTTTCGAGCCAATTGTGCATGGAACTTTTGGTGTCAACCAATTTAAACTTTGGTATATACTAGGTCAAATAAGTGAATTTTTTGCTAAAATAATGGCTAGAAGTCATAGATTCAGACATCCTTGTCATGACAGGTTCGTGCCATATTAAAATTCAAATAATTTTATAGAAATTCCTTGAAAAAGAAACAGTCACGGCATTCATATTTATATACTGAGTCTTTTAAGCCTGTTATGCATGGAACTTTTGGGATTGACCAACCTAAACCTTTTGATATGTTTTCTATATATGGCCTTAGTAAGTGAAATCTCCTTTTGAGTGGGTCCGACACTCCACGAGATCGATTTTTTTTCTCGATTTACGGATACCTGAAAATATTCGGGTACAGAAAAATCAACTTTTACAATGCAATAAATGAATAACCCCTTTTTTGTTACAAAAAATTTCTCTCGCACATTGTAAACGATATTGACAAAATTTTCAATTGGGCATAAATTCGGTATTATATTATTTTTGTTGTATTGTCGTTCCGTTCCTGATGGCAATCATTATACCTAGATATATAAACCTTTTCATCATATAGATATATAAATCTTTTCATTATTGAATATAATATGAAAATGGATACAGCTCCTTCTCTCAGAATACCTCAATGTTTTTATAGGCTTTCATATCTATGCATTTTACCTCTGGAATTTTATTTTTTGAAGAAAATATATTAATAAAGAATTCTTAATAATTTTTTCATTTTGTTGAGCATTTTCTCTTTCAAGTAAACATCGATTTCCATGTAATTGCCAGTATTGTGATCCTTTTTATACGCATGATATTACACTTTATTTATCTTTATTTTTTTATTAAGCTCGTTCAATTTCCTCACGAAATCTAATATTTAAATAAAATCCAAACTTTACAACAGAACTATTTTGTTACTTTCTAACAAGTGTTGCCATTTTTTCCTTTGATGAATGATTGTTAGATTTCTTGCATTTATGATAAGGCCACGCAAAGTTAATTTATCATTTTGCATAACCGCCTACCCAATTTTTCCAAAAAAACATTTTTTTTTAATAATAAAGTTATCTATCACCTAAATTTAACATCCAGGTGTTATTCTTTTCGATCTATTTAATTATTTGTATAAACAAAATACTTCATCAATCTGACCCATTCTGACGAATTTGGTCAAAAGTCACGTGATTTTTATTTTTGACTTTATTTTATGTTAAAAGAGTAACACCAAAGATAAGATTATTTTGAAATATAAAAAAATTTTGGCAATTAATGTTATTGTCATTCCTGATGGCAATCATTATACCTAGATATGTGAACCTTATTTGTCATTAAATATAATATGAAAACGGATACTGCTTATTTCACAAATAATACCTCATTATTTTTACAGGACTGACTTTAGTAATATGAGTAATACTATACCGTATTTTCACGTTAGCTAACATAATAGCACTAGCATTACAAAAGTTTTACCACTATTAATAGATCCCATCAATATAGGCTTAATGATTTAAAGATAAAACAATAACTCATGCATGTATAATACATGGTCATGACTTTTATTATATTATAACAAAAATTTGTTCAGAAAATAACTTTGAAATGCTTCATTAAAAATTAAAACCTAATTTCCACAAAATTATTCATCCAATCATTATTCCATTCAAAATGACAACATTTTTCACCTTTATAATGATATATTGGTCTATATTTTGCAGAACATTTGTCACATTTAAATTTTTCTTTTTCGTTTTCTATTGCTTTTTTAAATTTGCAATCATAAGTATTATGATTATCTTTGAAGCAAAAATAACACCACAAATGTACGTCCGAGTGAACATCGTCCCAGGACCAATAGTTAATGCCCTATCCAATATGATTATTTTCTTTACAAAAGCCAGCATAACACAAATCACAAGTTTCTTTTTTTACTTCTGGTGATTCGTTCTAGGGAAAAGGCGAATTTGTCGGTTCAGGACCCCATCCTTCATTTTTTTGATCTAAAGTAGACAATTATTTGTCAATATTTCACAAACACTAAATGAAATTATTTAAATATACTCACGCATTATTTGAAATATTATTATCAGTAAACGCATTATTTTTGCAGAAAGCATCTGCTATTGCTTTCCCTCCCAAAGAGCCAAGGTTGTTATCTGAAAGATCTAAAGCGGTTAAACTATTATTTTTACAGAGAGCATTTGCTATTGCATTCCTCCCAAAAAACCAAGAATCGAACAGAAGTAGAACAGTCTTAACTTTTTAGCCTTTTTTTATAGAACCAACTAAACCTTTTTTTTTATCATCCTCGATATTATTATTATTCGTGAAGTAAATTTTTTGAATTTTATATTCCACAGGATTCAATTTGGATATAAAAAAAATACAATAGTTAATTTAGTTCTTTAAAGAAGATAAAAATGTAAAAAATGTAAAAATAATATTTATCATAGGAAATTGTTGAATATGATATAATTAAGATAAATGTAAAACGCCGAATTTTTAAATAAAAAAAAGATCATATTATTGAAGCAAGAATATAAATGCCAGAATTATAAATTATGTTTATGGAATAACTAATTACATTTTTAAATTTTATATATTATAAGTAGATATTGGTATTGGCTTCAAAATCCTAAATAACAAATCTTAAAACGATCAGAAATATAAAAGTCCTATCAAATAGAAAATACTAATGTAATACAAATGACGTAGTTCGTGATATGTTCAAGGTTATGATGATTGAATAAATAATTGTTGCATTTAAAGATTTTAATAATAAAGATATTTTAATATTATATTTTTAGTCGGTTGATATAAGAAATGTAATATAAAATTGAGTGCAAAATTTTTGTAGTTCATATCTCTTCTTAGAACACTTCGACTTCTTCGATTGTAAACTTAGTTCATAGTGGCACATGATTTAACGGACCCACGGGTCTGCGAATTAGGGATGCAAAGACTTGCTTCCCAATCAAATTATAATGTATATATTTCATCCTATTTTATAAATAACAGGTAATTGTAAGGATTTAGTATATTTACATGATTTCAAGTATTAAGCATCTTAAAATTTTTTTAACCTTGTTTAACCGTATTAATTACAATAATTCAGCCGGCACTATAAAAATTTTTTATGCGGTTAGACGGTTCCAACTATAGTTGTCAGACGAAACCATGTGATGTTAATTATCACCTGTCATAAATACAAATATCTAAAATTTAAATCTAGTTTTTATTAAGCTTTGATGGTTGACAATTAGCATCATATAGTTTTGTCTAACAACTATAGTTCCAACCCTACTTTTTTGATACTAAATTGAGCAAATATATCGTAATCTATAAAATAACGAGTTTATTTATTTTCAGAAGGCAAATTTATATTATTGCCATTAACAATTTTTCTAATATTGATATTAATAATAAATGACAAAAGACAAAATGAAAGAACAAATAAAAAGTATGTTCTATAATGACGAAATTATCAAGAGATCCCAACTGAGCAAAATGATAAATATCATTTTCAACTCCAAATAAAACTATAAAGAATAAAAAATAATTAATACGTAATTGATTCAAAAAATTTAAATATAATGAAAAATTGGATAATACCTATTAAACAAAACCATCCCATGTATTACAATTCAGAATACCGAGCAAAGCTAATGAAATTCAAAAATGAATAAAAGAAGAAAAAAATGCATATAGACAAAAAAAGTGTACATCCCAAAATTTTATGAAAAGATCCTGATTGTGCAAAATAATTGATTTTCGAGTTAAAAAACTTAATGAGTGTTATAAATATACCCAATAACCAAATCAAACCAAGGTAATTCGAATCAGAATACCAATTAATGTTAACGTTATTTAAACAAGAAAAGCTACTATAGCTAACGAATGAATACCAATTCTACGTTGAAATCGCAATTCTTGAAATCAATACCATATCTTTTATTACCCTTTTGTTGAGTAATAGAGTTACCAACGCACCAGGACCAAACATACAGAAATTAATTCTGAAGACATTTGCCACGTCTTCATGGCTATAAAATATAAAAAAATGTTAACTATATGAAGCAAAGCAAAAATAATGAAAGAAATAGAATTTACAGTAACAAAGGTCTAATTGATAATCCAAAGATTCCAGATACCTAAATGCAAAAAATACGAATTTAGCCAAAAAAAAAAAAAAAAGACAGTAGTATAATTTAAAATTAAACATACACTGGAAATAATAACTAAGAAAAAAAAAATAACGCCACAAAACCTTGAGTAGACTATTAGCAAATGGTCTTGTATGGCTTTTTCTTGATTTGAAAGTTGCGTACTCATATTTCTACAAGTTAGAATTTAAACCTGGTAAGTTTATATGTACTCGTTAAGAATTATTTCATCATCTATATATATCTCATATATTATAGAATTATATTATACCAAGAAAATACGAGTAAACTAAAATATATTGCAGATCCTATATATTTAAGTTTTTATATACTGCTAGTAAGGATCTTATATATTATTTAAACTATTAAACTAAAAAGTATTTATTATAGTATATTGTAGATCTTTAAATATATTACAGTAATAATGTTCTAATCTTGTTTACACGAGAATTCTTCGAACAGAAATCTGATAAATTGACTCGTTCATTTTCTCGCCTATGGCAAGACAGATCCTTCTTTGAATACATAGGTAATAATTTTTACAGAAAATGCACACAGAATTTAATTAGTGTAGATAGATGTATATAATATTTAGAATAAATGAACTGTTTGTAATAAATTTAATAATAACTCATTGTCTTACCTCTTTTATCTAGGAATTTATCAGGCTGAAATTAAGTTAAATGAATTTCAAAAATGCTAACTTGATTCCAACCCAAGGTAACAAATTTTATTTTTGTTAACTGGAAGAATTCCTTGTATCAACACATCCAATAATTTGTGATTTAAAATAATTCTTAATAAAGTTAACATGCTTATTCCTTTGCATGAGACAGTGAATTTTTCTGAAATCCTTAATGTTATTCGTAATTTTGTGCCTAATGGTTCTAGAATGAACGATGAAGATTTGCTAAAGAATGGTAACTTGCTTTCAGTTATTTTGCAATAACACATTTCACCGAATATTAATAAAATGGTTCTTTTTTTTTGAAAATTGCAATTCTTTTACCTTTGTTAACAGCAAAAAAACATTAAACTAACTTGCAAATTATCTGAACTGGTTAAAAGATTAGAATCTAAGGATATGCTTTTGTCATCTACTGTCAATATACTTAGACATTGTTATTAACATTTTTTATTAACTCAAAGTATTGGATGAGCAGCACAGGAAACAATCAAGGGCATTGAAAATTGGAAATGCAATAATTAAAAATTGTATGATTATATTATAATATATAATTCTGGTTCTTAAGTACCAACTAATAATGGTTTTATATTTTATCACTAGATGCTAGAAATTTTATTATCCAAAATTCCGAAATCTTTCGACTCAAAAGATATTATAATTCTCTTAATGCAATGTTAAAAAACTTAAAAGAATTGGTTAAAGAAAAAAGTTACCAAGTCAATTACAACAAGCACACGAAAAAGTATGAGATTTGATCATAAAAAAATAACAGTATTGCTTTAACTTCATAAAATTTGTTATTTTTGTCTATTGAAAGTTCCAAGAATAAATAAAGATATTAATTGTGAAACAAATTAATAGCTGTTGTTGATTTTATGTCCTTCAAAATTACGTATTCCTTTTAGTAAAATTAAGTAAACCAATTAAATTAGTTTAAGACATATAAATATCATACTAAATTTTATTTATCATTGGGTATTTTTTCAATGTACATTAATATAAAAATTTAATAAAGTAGACCATTTTTAACAATTATTGTTATTCAATAAGTAGAGTATCGTGTCTTTAGTACAAACCTAATTTTTAGAGTGAAAAATCTACATAGTAACGATCACGTGTTGTACTTGCGAATAATTTAATTGCATGTCAATAGAACGTAATACATGATGACTTTGATTTAAAAGAAATTTTACTTTCAACTTTTTGTCGAATGAGAAATTTTGTTTTGTTAGTTAATCATTTTATTTTTTCGAAAATAAAGTTCGTGACTTAGTCACGTCAATCAAATTATAGTGGGTCAGAATTATCAAATTTTGTTTAAAATCGTCAAATAGACTCACTTGTTGATGAGATATCCAATATCCAAGAATTTAGTATCCAATGGATAATCACGTGATTTCAAGCACTAGGCACGAAGCCAGTAAAATGAATGCCAGATAATATCATATAACCTGATTTCGCAATGTAATGAATATAACGGCTAGCTAATGATCGGATAGAGACTTTTTTGATAGAATGTTAATGCCAAAGGTACTATTTGTTCTTGCTCATCTGTTTTTAAGTTTGTAAGGAATGCTTTGATGACCTCTTTTTTAGCGAAATTAGAATTTGCCCATAAGATGGACACAGTAATGTTGCACCATTGATGATTGACATGTATGTTAATAAGATAATAAGATCTGCCATAATGACAATTTGTACTGTAATTTTTATATACGCTTCTGTACTTTTGTACTTATATAGTAAAGTCATGTGATAATTATACTGTATAAATTAAACTAGCTAATCACGCATAAATTGTATTGTAAAAAGAATAGAATGCTTTTTATATTTATTTATATATTTTATATTGCAAATAATAAGTTGACTCAACAATTGAGTCATGATTTATTGATACGCTTATATGTAAATTGTCAAAACTATAAATTTATCAACTGACTCTTGTGTAGTTCAAAATTTTTAACAACAATAAATAACTTCACTTCTAATTACACAAAACAAATAAAACTTAATGTCGCTTGAACCAAGAGATCTATTTCCAGGAAATCAAATAGATTACTTTTATTATTTGGATTTTCCAAATTCTTTGTGGTTATCTCAACTGGCAAATAAATCTAATAATTTGACTTCTTTAAATTTGGATTCTTTAATACATGAGGATGCTTCTCAGGGTAAGAAATTATAATTGAAATAATAATAAGAGAGAGAGGAATTAATAATTTTGTTCATATTAGATACAATTACTTTAGAAGATTTTTTGACCATAAATAAATTTAAAAAAATAGATGACAAAATCAATGCTCTTGATGTTCTTTTTACTAATGATCAATATAAATTTTTTATTTTGCTTTTACTATTTCATGTATACTTAATTTGTTTATTTATTATTTTATTATTTTATAATAATTTTAAGAAATATTTGTTAATAAAATTGGACATATCGAGAAAAATCATTTAGATACTAAATTTTACGTGATTTGTAGAATACCAATTACTAACAATTTCCAAGATAAAACAGAGAAAATCAAATTTGCAACTAATTTCGAACTCAGTTCACTTTTCTACGGCATCAAGAGGCGGTCAGAGATCCAGAATTTAATTTAGCAAGATCTACAATATACAGGTACATATACTGTAATTTTGATGACGTTATTTTTTTAAATCGATGCGTAAACAAATATCAATCACTTAGCTTCTTTCCTTTGTTCTTTAAACTTTCCCTCTTTTCTCAATTATTCCTTTAATTTTTTTTCTTTCATATTTTTTTTTTACCTTTTCTTTTCGTTGTGTGGATAGGGCCACTGAATGTGGTAGTCTAAACTTGAAGCTTCCATATACATAAAATGTCTTTTTTTTTGTTTTTGTAGTTTTTTTTATAACCATTTTTTTATTTTTTTGACTCTGTCGAAGTGTATGTTCTCTGAAAATGAGCTGAGAACCGACGAAGGTTTCGAGTTAGCAACGAATACGAGTGTCTAGACGTGAAACTGGCTCGCAGGAATTGACCTTAAGATATGCTCTGGGATTCGTTTTCGAATGGGTGAGGGCAAAAGCGTAGCAATTCGAAACATTTGTCGGCTCTTCGGAAAATTTTATTGAAGCGAGCGATTATTTTTTCTTTTTTCCCTTTTCTTTTTTCTTTTTTCTTTCTTTTTTTCCCTTTTCATTTTTTTCCCATTATTTTTTTATTATTTATTTTTTCTCTATTTTTTCGTCG